ACATAAATAGGTTCTTTCCTGGATAACACAGAGAATATCAGGAGGTGATTTTTGGACTCATCAACAGGACCTGCATAGAGTTCAATAAAACATCAGGCATTAAGGGAGGGAGATAGACAAGCATTAATGGATACAAACATAACAAGTAATATACCAAGTAACACAAATAAGTGATGCGCTGGAGCATCCGCCATTAATTGTAGATCATTTGGAGAATTTTTGTAGTGCGAAGCAACATAAAGGGGGGAAATTTGTTATACTATGTTGCAAAACCTTGAAAAGATTTTCTTCCACCAAAAAGAGACCTTTAAAAAAATTCAGCATACTATGGGTATATACTGTAGCTTCGCCAGGTATCAATGGCACCAAAAACTTGGCAGAGCTAATAAGCAGATATTGCAGCAGTCATACAATGAGGCATGGGGTCCTGGGGACTCATTTGATAATGAGACAGATCAAACTAGATGTGTCACATGATAATCAAAGGGAGAAAATTAGAAGTAACTATATCACACAACCTAAATCAGTGACATTAATTGAAATTCTAAAAAAAGCAGTATGAGATCCCAAGTCCAAGGAAAGATATAAGTTCCTTGACTAAGTCAAAATCCCAGGGGATATGTCATTACACCAAATATATGTTTTTGAATTCAAATGCATAGAGAAGCATTACCTCAATTCCACCAACAAATATAAAGAAACATACACACATACACACATAAAGATGAGTAGATACACACATACACATATAAAGATGAAGAACTACCAGGTCTTTGTTGTTCAAGATGATTTTTTCTTTCATTTTTGTTCATTCATTAATGAGTAGATATTGGTTTTTAAAAAGATTACCTTAGAACAGCGAAGTCGCATCCTGATTTTCAGAAACTGATGCAGTACCCTGAAATTCAGATTGAATTAAAGAAAATGCAATGTAAACATTGAAATTATCACACAACCTAAATCAGTGAAATTAATTGAAATTCTAAAAAAAGCAGTATGAGATCCCAAGTCCAAGGAAAGATAATGAGTTCCTTAACCAAGTCAAAATCCCAGAGGATATGTAATTACACACTTTTCTAACAACAAATACATGTTTTTGAATTCAAATGCATAGAAAAGCATTACCTCAATTCCACTCTGTAATCGATTTACTTGACTGATTATTGACAATAATCAGTCTTTACCATTACCTCAATTCCACCAACAAATATCGATTTACTTGAAGCATAGAGAAGCATAGAGAGAAAGAGAGAGAGAGAGGGAGAGAGGTACCGGAGGGCTCCCATGGGGGTTCGAAGCAGAGAGAGAAAGAGAAGACAGTGGCGTCAATGTAGAATTTGAGGAAGCTGATGATGATGACGGTGGCTGTGGTGGTGGAAACCCTAGCCTTCGGTGACCCAATCGAAGCACCGTGTCGCGATTCACAATCGAAAACCCTACCTTGCGAGTGGGAGATTGCGACTTGAAGACACTGAGAGAGAATGGGGGAGAGGCAGAAATCGAGGCCAGCGGAAAGAAGAACAGAGAAGGAGAGAGACAGAGGGAATGGGAGGAGACGAGTCAAACCAAATTACCCCAATCTGGGTTCGATTGATGCATTAACAGTGTGTGAAGAGAAAATTACCCCAATCTGAAATTTTTTTTCTGAAATTCAATTCCCGCCCCACGTTTCAAATTTCCCCCCAAACTTTTGGCGGCCAAACTCTCAAATTAGTCGCAAAAATAGGTTCTTTCGCCGACAAATTTTTTTAGTCGCCAAATCTCAATCAACGGCGACTAAAATATTAGTCGCTAAAAGTACTAATTTGGCGACTAATTTTTTTAGTTGCTGAAAATAAGTTTTTCGCGACCAAATTTGTAGTTGGTCGGCAAAAGCATACCACTTTCTGCGACCACATATTTTTTGGTCGCCAAAATATAACCTTCTGCGACTAATAAAATTTGGTCGCCAAAATTAATGATTATTCGCGACTAATTAATATTTGGTCGCCAATGTCATTTTTTTGCGACCAAAATTTTTTTAGTCGGTAAAAGTGGTCGCAAAATGTGTAAATTCTTGTAGTGCTAGCGGTTGGCACACGTATTGCATGTATAATTTAAATAAATAAAAATAAAAACCAATATAAAGAAATTAATATTATAATATGTATATTGCCCAAGTGGTGAGAGGTTTCTTATTGAAACAAAAGATTTTGGGTTCAAACATTTTTTAGCACTGCATGTAATTCTTGTTTTTAGGATACGAAAAAAATGCCACGTGAATGAGGAGAAGGCTTAGACACAAAATATATATATATATATAATATGTGTGTGTGTGCGTGTGCGGCGGCTCGTGTGTTAAGATTCAAACTTTTTTATTTTTTGTGTTTTTTAATACAGGATATATACATATGTATGTAATTTTCTAAAAATTATTTATGACATTTTTTGTTTGGCACCATTTTTTATTATTTTTTAAAATTTGAATCTATTAAAAAATAAGTTCAACAGAGTTTAGAGAGAGAGAGATTTGCAGAGAGATCGAAGAGAGAAGAAGAGAATCGAAGAATGATAATGATCTGATCTGAGATGAATAACAGATCGAGATCAAGTTCGAGTTCGATGAAGAACAGCTAGAGCAAAGCCCTAGAGCGACAGAGATCGATGTTTGCCCGAGGAATGTAGATCGATGTTCGATTACGATAGAGAGGAGCGGTGTGTGAGAGACTGAGAGGGAGTGATGTCTGTGAGAGTGAGATATTAGTGTAAGACTGAGAGAGACGGACCATGACGGAGATACGAGTGTGAGAGAGTGAGATCTGTTAATTGACTTTTCTTTCTTCCTCTTTTTTTAAATGTAAAATACGCAAAACACTAAAAAATGGCGTTTTTTTAAAACGATGTTGTATAAACGTTGTTGTATGTCAATTTTCTTGTAGTGAATGTCGCGATTCACAATCGGAAACTCTACCTTGCGAGTGGGAGCAGCAGTCATACAATGAGGCATGGGGTCCTGGGGACTCATTTGATAATGAGACAGATCAAACTAGATGTGTCACATGATAATCAAAGGGAGAAAATTAGAAATAACTATATCACACAACCTAAATCAGTGACATTAATTGAAATTCTAAAAAAAGCAGTATGAGATCCCAAGTCCAAGGAAAGATAATAGTTCCTTGACTAAGTCAAAATCCCAGGGGATATGTCATTACACAACTTTTCTGACAACAAATACATGTTTTTGAATTCAAATGCATAGAAAAGCATTACCTCAATTCCACTCTGTAATCGATTTACTTGACTGATTATTGACAATAATCAGTCTTTACCATTACCTCAATTCCACCAACAAATATCGATTTACTTGAAGCATAGAGAAGCATAGAGAGAAAGAGAGAGAGAGAGGGAGAGAGGTACCGGAGAGCTCCCATGGGGGTTCGAAGCAGAGAGAGAAAGAGAAGACAGTGGCGTCAATGTAGAATTTGAGGAAGCTGATGATGATGACGGTGGCTGTGGTGGTGGAAACCCTAGCCTTCGGTGACCCAATCGAAGCACCGTGTCGCGATTCACAATCGAAAACCCTACCTTGCGAGTGGGAGGATTGCGACTTGAAGACACTGAGAGAGAATGGGGGAGAGGCAGAAATCGAGGCCAGCGGAAAGAAGAACAGAGAATGAGAGAGAGACAGAGGGAATGGGAGGAGACGAGTCAAACCAAATTACCCCAATCTGGGTTCGATTGATGCATTAACAGTGTGTGAAGAGAAAATTACCCCAATCTTAATTTTTTTTTCTGAAATTCAATTCCCGCCCCACGTTTCAAATTTCCCCCCAAACTTTTGGCGGCCAAACTCTCAAATTAGTCGCAAAAATAAGTTCTTTCGCCGACAAATTTTTTTAGTCGCCAAATCTCAATCAACGGCGACTAAAATATTAGTCGCTAAAAGTACTAATTTGGCGACTAATTTTTTTTAGTTGCTGAAAATAAGTTTTTCACGACCAAATTTTTGGTCGCCAAAAAATATGTGACATTCCGCGACCAAATTTGTAGTTGGTCGGCAAAAGTATACCACTTTCTGCAACCAGCATATTTTTTGGTCGCCAAAATATAACCTTCTGCGACCAATAAAATTTGGTCGCCAAAATTAATGATTATTTGCGACTAATTAATATTTGGTCGCCAAATGTCATTTTTTTGCGACCAAAATTTTTTTAGTCGGTAAAAGTGGTCGCAAAATGTGTAAATTCTTGTAGTGCTAGCGGTTGGCACACGTATTGCATGTATAATTTAAATAAATAAAAATAAAAACCAATAATAAAGAAATTAATATTATAATATGTATATTGCCCAAGTGGTGAGAGGTTTCTTATTGAAACAAAAGATTTTGGGTTCAAACATTTTTTAGCACTGCATGTAATTCTTGTTTTTAGGATACGAAAAAAATGCCACGTGAATGAGGAGAAGGCTTAGACACAAAATATATATATATATATATATGTGCGTGTTATGTGCGCGTGTGCGCGCGCGTGTGTGTTTAGATTCAAACTTTTTTATTTTTTTGTGTTTTTTAATACAGGATATATACATATGTATGTAATTTTCTAAAAATTATTTATGACATTTTTTGTTTGACACCATTTTTTATTATTTTTAAAATTTGAATCTATTAAAAAATAAGTTCATTAAAGAAAACATGATTGATTTGAATTATTTTATTACCGAACCTGCTTTAACCTGCCCATTTGCCACCACTACAAATTACTGATGCAAGGGATTAGATAAGAGTTCCAACTTCAGCAGTTTCGATGAATGAAATCACTTTATAAATTTAAGTGTTATAAATTTAGAAACAAAAAACAACTTTTAAACTAAATTACATTTATTGCGTTTGGTTCTAAAGTTTTAAAAGTGGTTTTTGAGTTTTTCTTTTTGTTTTTTTTTTTTTTTTAAAGTTTTAAAAGTGGTTTTTGAGTTTTTTTTTTTTGTTTTTTTTTTTTTTGTTTTTTGTTGTTCTTAGTCAATTATATGCACCTAAAAATAAATTTTTTTGTGAAAAATGTATTGAATTTTTTTTAATATTTAGTCTATTTTTTTTATATAAAAAAAAATCACAAATATTTTTACTTTTAAGTATATCTAAATTAAGTGAATCTAAAAAGGAAAAAAAAAAATCTGCTTAAAATGTTTAAAAAATTCGCCAAAGATGAGTAACATAAAAAACAAAAAACTCAAAAATTATTTTTGAAAATTGTTTACTTAGAGTAAAAATTTAGTATAATGATGATATCGTTTTACCATTGACACGTGATATTATCTACTAACAAACTTACATGTATGGGGTGAACTTACTCAAAATATAACTATATTGCGATATATACATGAAAAGATAAATGACAAGATATTATTGGATGATGATACCAATAATATAATAATATTGTATTGAACATTTTTTTATTATTATTTAGGGGCATTTTTTCATAAATCCCTTTTCACATACTTATGTTTCATTTAGTCCACATTATTTTCTTATATTCCAATAAGTCTTATGAGTGACATAGTTACCAAAATACCCCTAATAATATTTACATTTACAGTGTGAATGTTTCGTGATATGAATGTTCACACTGTCAATGTGAATGTTCACATCATCAATGTGAATGTTCACACTATTAATGTGAACATTCACACGTCAATGTAAATATTCACATTGTAAAATATGAATGTTCGCATCACAAAATTGCTAACCGTTCAAAAACTATTTGCAAGGGTACAAATGTCTATAAAATAATTTAAATATGAAAATTGGGATTTGGTAGTTCAAATGTTCAAATAATAGGACTTATTGGAATATAAGAATATGTTATGGATTAATTGAGATACAAACACTTGAAAATGGATTTTCTAATAAATCTCCATTTTATTTAATGGGATCTTTAATTTTTTAAAACAACCAAAATAGACAAAATAAAATATTACCAATATAAATAAACTTTTTGGGAACATAGGTTAAAAGTCAAAAGCTAGCTTTTAATCCATTTTGAAGCTTTTAACTATCTTCC